ATGTCTTTTATTTGTTATATATGAGTTCCACACATTTTGTCCATATGGGGAATCAAACCCAGATCTTCAATGTGTCTAGTGAGCACATATAACCACTAGGCTAACCTTTGATTAGACAGACATTTTATCTGAAAATTGTTGTTATGTCTTTCAATGTTCCCCGATTCCACGTTTAGCCACTGTATTTGATATGAAGCTCTACCATTGATGTTATCCAGACTGGGTCTATAGATCTCTAGAAAGGACCAGGTTAAGATTTCTCTATTATGCACCTAAAAACATTTACCATGCAATCTTTATTCGAGGAATAAGGTTTTTTTTAAGAGTTTATAAGTTTGAAACTATGGTATTTTCCACTCTGAGATCAATGAATTATTCAAATGAGACTCTGTTATCCCTCAATATACTTCTTCAAAACTAAAAAAGTTTGATTGATGTGAAGCCTAACATTCCCTGAAGAACACTGGGAGAAGTTGACATTCTGGCCGCCTCGAAGACTAGTCATTTGAATCCCTGATATATTCAATGTTATCTCAGTCAGTGCAGGGGAAACATGCGAACATTTGTCAGGGAGAAAAAGATTTATTTGAGTTAAAACTTTTTGATGGTGACACAACCTATATAAGTAGGTGTTTCAATTTGATGCATGTTGACTGTTTCTTCCGATCCTCTAAGATACTAGCAGGGTCTGGTAATAAATTCTTAATCTATTTACAAGATGGCTTTGGTGAACGACATTGTGTTTGCTTATTGCCTTAAACTAACTTGGTCGTAATTAGTGTTGGCCTCTTCAATACTAGCTGATTCCGAATCCATAGCTCCTGAGACTACCAATGGAATGGTATTTTTACAAGTTGTAAGACTACGAGGATATAATTGGAACTAAGGGAATGCTTGGATAGTTCTGCGGCAACAAGCTTGTGGTTGTTTGGGAATAGGAGAAGGGGGTAATTGCCTTCTTAATGATTGCGTTGTTCTCTTGGTAATTAGGCTGTGTTTGAAGGGAAATACATTTGTCGGGATTTGTCAACACTGGGAATTGGGTATTGGCTGGAGAGTGCTGTTGTCATTCCTTTGTTGTTTTCAATGGTGACTTTAACTACCAGTAGAGCAAGACGTACTCACCTATTCATGAACAAGCGTTGTCAGTGCTATTGTGGGTGGCCCAGTCGCCTAAGGCACCATTATTCAGTGTCCCTTTAGGCATGCCAAAGACCAATGCTCGTGGCTTCAAATCCTAGATTTTCTCTGATATGGCAGTGCTGGTGGGGTTCACAAAAATGATAAATGACTGAAACCAGCATCAGGTCGGACTTTCCTCCCACATCAAGCTGACACAACTGTTCACTCACTCACCAACAAAAGGCTGTATCAGAGTTTACTGTAATAGACAAATACCTGAGATAGTGTTAACAATTCTGAAAGTATGAATCAACTGGTATCAAGTCTGTGTTCCTGAGGTGCACGGGTGGCCCAGTCATCTAAGGCGCCGCAATTCACTGTGCAGAGTTGTGTCCCTTGTTCACGCCAGAAACCTATGAATGTGGGTTTGAATCCCGGTTCGCCCCGATTATGTTTCTAGGTTTGTCAGGCAATATGAGGATCCTGTAAAGTATGAAATGGTGTAGTGTACTGTACGTTTTGATAATTACTTTAGAGCCTGGAATGAATCAATGATCATGTGGACAGTGGTCATGATTGGTGGATGCAATGCCAGACACCCATTACTGCTCTTGATGCGCTGTTGGTACAATGAATATTATTATTGTGCATCCCTTGGGGCGCAGTATATTCTTTTACAGCGTCCAATCTCAACATTTGTGCATCACGTAAAACCATGAATATTATACCCAGATCATATATTGAATTAATTTTCAATTGTATTTTGAACTTTGACCTGGATTTCTTCTTCTATAATGCAGCCTGCTGTAGTTTTGGGGATCATTACTGCCCTGATGTTCCAATCGGCTGCGATGTCACGATTCAAACTTCGGACTAGACCCTCAAGTTATTTCAATTTTGTGCTTGCAAATATTGATTTGATTTAGCTTTAGTTGTTTAATGTAAGCTGGTTGGTGTAAAGGGAGACAACACTTACTTGTATGTATGTTCATTCCCCTGTAGACAAACATTTGACCATATGGTCCAATATGCATGTGCAGCTTTCTTCAGTCGTAATCACTGATAAAAAAGAGTCAGTGTGGGAGTGAGATTTTCCTTGCTTTAAGCAGACACCACGGCATATCACTGTGGGAAGTGTCACAAGGAGGAGGCTTCAAGCATTGTAGCGTTTTGGGAATCGAATCTGGCTTTAACGAGTAAATGCTTTTACCACAATAACATATCTCACCACCAAGGAGTTTTTGTCAGCTTCTTCTGAATACACAAGTTAATGATGTTTGCTTACTTGACTTTTTAGTGGAGCTATTGTTACATCAACAAACACAGTGAATAGCTCACATGAAAGTATCGCTTCTGAAAACTGCTTTGAGTGGTTACGTTGGCTGACTGTCCAACCAGCTGAAGATAGGGAATGATGTGATTACCCGCAGTACCGTTGTGAGTGCTGCTTCCAACATAAGGCTGTACCAGAGTGTACTGTAATAGACAAATACCTGAGTTAGTGTTAACAATTCTGAAATTAGGAATCAACTGGTACCAAGTCTGTGTTCCTGAGGTGTACTAGTGGCCCAGTCGTCTAAGGCCCAGCGAGTGCAGAGTTGTGTCCCTTGTTCCCACCAGAAACCTATGACTGTGGGCTTGAATCCCGGTTCGCCCCGGTTATGTTTCTAGGTTTGTCAGCAACATACCCGTGCTCGTGGGTTTCACCAAAGTGGTAAACGTCTGAGATTTGTTATGATTGCTGTGTGTTTGTTACACCGTTAATTCCACAGTCCTGGTGCAGGACTACCAAATGTCCAACACTGTGTATGACCGTAATGATTATTGTATTGGCTGTGATCTATTGGTTTTGACTGCTGTGTGTTTGTTACACCAGTGCTGACAAGCCATTGTATCAATTCTTGGTTGTGTTTACATCTCTGTTGGGGGATTACTGATGAGATCATTACCCCAACTATAGATGGATGTTTCTGCCCATGCTTGTCTTGTGGGAGTCACGCGAGTCACATAGGCTGCTTCACTTGTCTAGCCTGCCCCCAGAAAGATCGGTTTGTTTGGTTTGTTTATTGTTTAACGCCGCACTCAGCAATATTCCAGCTATATGACGGCAGTCTGTAAATAATCGAGTCTGGACCAGATAATCCAGTGATTGATATCATGATCATCAATCCACGCAATTGGGATCGGTGACATGCATCAACCATGTCAGCGAGCCTGACCACCCGATCCCATTAGTTGACTCTTACGACAAGCAGGAAGACTGTTGACCTTGTCCATCAACCGTTGTTGTTGTTATTGTAGTCCTGCACCATGACCGTGGAATATATTTATTTTATGAAAAAAAAATAATCTAGAAATGCATACAAAAGCAAGTCTAGCCAGCTCAAGCTAGCTCTATAGGGAATTTTTTTTATATTTTTAGAGTCAAGAAGGATATTGTTTAATATAAGATTTCAGAGACTAAATGTTAGTCTATTGTTGTTGTTGTTTATTCACCAAGGTTACGTAGGCCATCGGCCCATGTTACAGCAGCTGTACAGCAGCCATTACTGTAATTAAAATTTACATCAGCAGATTTGTCCTTTATTGCATAGACTTATGAATATACATAGTGCATCACCGATGAGACATCAGTTTTACAAATGAGCAAACATCTGCTGTGATGGCTGTGACCATTCAATGGAGTGTCATTGCAACATGATATCATTTCATCCTGTTTGCCCTGATTAATGTAGAGCAATATATACAGTTAAACACTGCTGTGTTGAAGTTGGAGGGACCTAAATATTTTGAGTCACCCAAGGTTTGACACAACCGAAAATGATGACTAAAGAAGGAATACACAGGGACCAAGGTTTTACTTCAAGACAACCATTAAAGTTCAAATCAATGCTGTTTGACTCCATGTATAAATTAGGAAGATAAGTCACATTGCACTGAATGGTAAAATACATGAACATGACTGCGTTATAACAGAAATCAGCTGAATCTTATTTCACGGACAGAAATACATGCATTTGCTCATAGTTTCACAAAAAATAAAGTTATTGGTAGTCAACTAGGTACATGGAATATGTCAGAAATAACATGAAAAAAACTGAATACAAAACTTGTATGTAAACGGCTTCTCAAGTCCTGGTTTGTTTTGCTGACTCAAGATTACAAAAGGAGTTGAGCATAACAATAAACTAACTTTGAATTACATTTGAATCATTGAATTATTATATACAAAAAATAACATAAATCCCCAAAAGCTCTCAAAGCTTATTATTCCTGATCCCTTATCCGAATTTGATGTATTTTGGCAAGGATCAAGGACTCTAGCTAAATGATTTTGAAAGAAAAAAACTCTTTTCTTGCAGCTGAAACACTGCAGAGCTTGCTTGAGAGAAAACAGATCTCAGTGCTGTGTTCAAAGATTGATTGCTTTACAAAATGTTGCAATGATTTTTTGGAACCCATGTTAGTTAAAATGTACTTTCACCAAGTGAAGATCAAAGTTGTTGTTTTGTTACTTATTCACAGTGTTTCAATTAGTGTCCAGCTGACAAGGAAACTGATGTAGTCATCCATCAAACATTCACAACCAGTCACTCTGTGTAAATTGAATAGATGAACAATTAGATCTGGGCGGCTAAACATGAAACATGGATTGTTTGCCAACTTGAAATCATCCCTATGTACCAAAACAACGTGAAATAATTGTAAGACCTTTTTACCTTCAGAGTGTTTGTCTAACTCAGTATGTGCTTTGTATTGTAACATTTGGAAAAGATGGCAAATGCAGGTGTTCGAAAAGGAACAGAAACAAAATGTACCTAATTTGAAGTTTAATACCTCTAATGACCTTGTTCTTAATGTGTCTTTCTGTATTTCAGACATGATGGGAGTGGTCGCAAGGTGCCAAAGGTGAGTAGTGGAGGAACAAGCCATGGAGCTCTGCTGTGGAGACTTATTGTCATATCAGATTCCATAGACATATATACAACAGGACAATGTTATAAATGCTATATACCACTGGTGTATATCACCAGTGTATATCACCAATATACTCTAGTGGTTGGACGATACACTGATGCATCAGTGGATCATGATATTTTACTTCCTGATACAATTATTGATCACAGTCACACACTATTCTTACCTTAAATGTTTCCTTTCATAACTGTTACACTTAACACTAATAAGTAGTGAAAATGAAAATATTTTTATCCATTGTGCCATAATTGAATCATTGTGAATTGTGAATAATTGAAACTGCCAACTGTGAATGGTCAGTGTGCCAGGTATGTCTATGAAAAAGATGACTTATGCACCACAGATAAGAGCATGTGCAAGTGTCGTGATACGTACAGGATCATACAGTTGGTGCATCATCCCAGCGCTCACAACTCACTCACTCACTCACTCACTCACTCACTCACTCACTCACCATGTATCATTCTGTTATATACTACTAGTGTACCGCGACACATGCATATCTGGGTTAGAATTGTACTTCAGCAACCCATGCTTATTCCCTGTAAAGATCTGGGTTAGAATTGAACTTCAGCAACCCATGCTTATTCCCTGTAAAGATCTGGGTTAGAATTGAACTTCAGCAACCCATGCTTATTCCCTGTAAAGATCTGGGTTAGAATTGAACTTCAGCAACCCATGCTTATTCCCTGTGAAGATCTGGGTTAGAATTGAACTTCAGCAACCCATGCTTGTTCCCTGTAAAGATCTAGGTAAGAATTGAACTTCAGCAACCCCTGCTTATTCCCTGTGAAGATCTGGGTTAGAATTGAACTTCAGCAACCCATGCTTATTCCCTGTGAAGATCTGGGTTAGAATTGAACTTCAGCAACCCATGTTTGTTCCCTGTAAAGATCTGGGTTAGAATTGAACTTCAGCAACCCATGCTTATTCCATGTGAAGATCTGGGTTAGAATTGTACTTAAACAACCCATGCTTGTTCCCTGTAAAGATGTGGGTTAGAATTGAACTTCAGCAACCCATGCTTATTCCCTGTAAAGATCTGGGTTAGAATTGAACTTCAGCAACCCATGCTTGTTCCCTGTAAAGATGTGGGTTAGAATTGTACTTCAGCAACCCATGCTTGTTCCCTGTAAAGTTCTGGGTTAGAATTGAACTTCAGCAACCCATGCTTATTCCATGTGAAGATCTGGGTTAGAATTGTACTTCAGCAACCCATGCTTGTTCCCTGTAAAGATCTGGGTTAGAATTGAACTTCAGCAACCCATGCTTGTCCCCAGTGAAGATCTGGGTTAGAATTGTACTTAAACAACCCATGCTTGTTCCCTGTAAAGATCTGGGTTAGAATTGTACTTCAGCAACCCATGCTTGTTCCCTGTAAAGATCTGGGTTAGAATTGGAACTTCAGCAACCCATGCTTGTCGTAAGAGGCGTCTTATGGGATCGGGTGGTCAGACTCCGTGACTTGGTTGATGCAGGTCGTTGTATACAATTTGCATTGGTCGATGCTCATGATGTCAATCACTAGAATGTCTGGTCCAGATTCGATTATTTACAGACAGCTATCATATAGCTGGATTATTCAGCCGCTCTTAAGTCTGGCATAAGTAAACAACAAACAAATTTGTATACCACACACATGCCATGTGACAGCTACTTTTGTGTCCGAGCTACCATAGACTATTACAGGACTGAATTATACTGTTAATAGTGTTATGTACTAACTGTTATTTCCCAGCCAAGATGCAGAGTTAGCTGAGTGACAAGTATGTGCAACCATGTCATTAATATGATATGATATGATTAAGTCAACTTATCGAAACAGAAACTATTATTAGCACAGCTTTAACACCCTATGTAAGTTAATATTGTCTACAATAACGGAACTGGCTTCAATTCCCCATGCAGGGTTTACATAAATCGGATTGAAAGTCCCAAGTCATTGCTTTAGTGTTGACAAGTGATGACTCGTAACATGATTTTATGTGAAGGAAAAAATTCAGTCTTAACGTTTCAATGGAGACTAAGAGGGCCAACGTTAAACACACTGGAAGTACGACATCACTGACGTATGAGACCACACATCTGATGCTAAAAGAATCAGCAAAAAGACCTGCCTATTATTTTTATGACTTACAGAGATTTCTTTGGTTTATTTCTGCTTGTTACAGTATCAGTATTCATGAAGACCTGCGATTGAACACTGATACCATATCGTCTTTCATTCACAATTCCTCACACCGTTAATTTTATTATCTTGTGATTGACAACATTGTGTCTTATAATTACACTGAACACTTTTTGTAACCCGATAGATTGAAAGCTGGTATACTTCATATGGATTAGTTGACAAGCTATTTCTGGTGTTAATTGATGGCAGTGATATTTTTATGTTTGGAATTTATATGGAATTTATAAATACATAAACCATTTACACAAGACAGTATGGTTCATCTTGTTTTTTTAATGTATATTGGTTTTTTTGTATGTGACTACATGTTGTATGTTAAAACATAGAGAACCATTTCATATTATTAAAGCCATATGTTTCGAATTTTGATACGAAATGAACACACTATTTCATTTAAGTCGTTCCTCTTCCGAAATTAAATTGCCCTTATTATTATAACTTATTTTGTTTATGACTTACCACAAAACTCGCTTGACTTGCCAAGAATACCTACTGTAAGCCCATGACAGTGAAGGGGTCACAGTTATGTCCAATCAAGTGAAGCAAATTGAACCAAATGGATAAAGTGTCCCAGCACATGTCTGTTCGCCACGACCGCCTCCGTGGTCTAGTGGTAGAGTGTCCGCCTGGAGAGCGGAAGGTCCGGGGTTCGATCCCCGACCGCGTCATACCAAAAGACGTTAAAAGATGGTACTTGTTGTTACCCTGTCTGGAGCTCGGGATTAAGGGGCTAAAACAAGGACTGGTCGGCTCGGAGTCAGTATACTGTGTCTGAGTGGGGTATTCATGTTAAACTGCGGCATGGTATCTCATTGGGCTAGCACTATAAATCGGCATCAGTCCAGACTAGTACAAGCAGCCACACAAACACACACACGTACATGCACGTCGCTATATAAGTGCAAAATCTTGGACGCGACGTTAAACCCAATTTCACCTCAACTCACCTCTGTTCGCCACAGTGGTGTTTAATTTGATGATGGGCTGTATTATATTATTGAACAAACTCCAAAGTATCCCCTCAAGTTCAGACAGGCAGCTGAAACATTTTGACTGAAATGGCGCTACACTTTCCAATCGATATCTTCTAGATCTTTTAAAAAAATCTTCTCCAATTCATTAGAAGGAGAAGGAAATGATTCATCGTGATGGACACAATTGTAGTGTCGAAAAAACATTACCTATTAAATCCCCTTAATTTGATATTGGCACCATTGGCAATACAGCAACGTATAAATCCTATATACAACATATTTGGAGGCACCAAGGGAGTATTGATGATGAGCCGCTGTCAAATGCATAGATATTTGAGACAATAAAGTCCCACAAACCCAAACTAGGCCACTATAACAGAATTTCAATTTCATGGAAGAGTTGTTCTCAAATAAATATTTCAAAACATTACATTCTGCCTTTGAGAGATTTTTTTTGCTAAAGGCAGAAGTGACATTTTAAACCTTCTAGTCGAAACAATGGTTAGAGAGGTTAAAAAACAAACTGTAAAAGTAGGAATTGTTTCTATCTTAAAGGGTAGGTAGCTCTACCATCTGAAAAAATAAACACTTTGACCAGAGAGTTATCACAGTGTCTCAATATGTTATTGGTCTAGTTTCTTATTCACAAAAGTGGAGTTAGTTATTGGTGGTCTTATTTTATCAGATAGGCCTTTAAAGTTGGTTTAAGAATTGACAAACCAGGCTGTTATTGTAGGGCTGCAAGTCAATGCCTTTAGCATGGGAAACTGTCTCTATTGCTCTCAAGTCTTACCAAAAGATACATGGAACATTAGGTGGCTTAAGTATGTTACGGGTGATTGGGTGGGTAATCTGGTATTTACCCTGCCTTGGGGTACTTAGCCAATGTCTTGTTGTAGGACATAACCATTGGGGCATCAAACAGTGGCATTACACAGGCAGCCTGTGTCCTTACATCGGGATGCAGGTCAATGCTCTTTCATCGGGTACAGGTCAATGCTCTCTCATTGGGATGCAGGTCAATGCTCTTTCATCGGGTACAGGTCAATGCTCTTTCATCGGGTACAGCTAGGTCAATGCTCTTTCATCGGGGCACAGGTCAATGCGCTTTCATCGGGTACAGGTCAATGCTCTTTCATCGGGATGCAGGTCAATGCTCTTTCATCGGGTACAGGTCAATGCTCTCTCATTGGGATGCAGGTCAATGCTCTTTCATCGGGTACAGCTAGGTCAATGCTCTTTCATCGGGGCACAGGTCAATGCTCTTTCATCGGGTACAGGTCAATGCTCTCTCATCGGGATGCAGGTCAATGCTCTTTCATCGGGGCACAGGTCAATGCTCTTTCATCGGGTACAGGTCAATACTATTTCATCGAGTACAGCTAGGTCAATGCTCTTTCATCGGGTACAGGTCAATGCTCTTTCATCGGGGTACAAGTCAATGCTCTTTCATCGGGGTACAGGTCAATGCTCTTTCATCGGGTACAGGTCAATGCTCTTTCATCGGGTACAGCTAGGTCAATGCTCTTTCATCGGGGCACAGGTCAATGCTCTTTCATCGGGTACAGGTCAATGCTCTTTCATCGGGATGCAGGTCAATGCTCTTTCATCGGGATACAGGTCAATGCTCTTTCATCAGGATACAGGTCAATGCTATTTCATTGGGGTACAGGTCAATGCTATTTCATTGGGGTACAGGTCAATGCTCTTTCATCGGGATACAGGTCAATGCTATTTCATTGGGGTACAGGTCAATGCTCTTTCAT